GGGGGGGAGGGGAAGCAGAGGTTGCAGTGAACGGAGATGGCGCCACGGCACTCCAGCCTGGGCAACAGAGCAAGACTCCATCTCAAAAAAACAAAAACAATAAGACTGAACTGGACATTCTCCTGGTTGGTTACAGAGGTAGTGAATTTGGGCATCTCGGCCATCACCCAGACAGCTGGTCATCTGGCAGTGAGACGGGTCTAACAACCCCCAGGATTGAGATGCTTCCGGGTGCAGACCCTCCCTTAACCTTTGAGAGGCACCTGAGGCCAACGCTACAGTGGAGAGGTTCCCTGGGCGGCGGGGGCCAGAGAGCAGTGCGGGGTCCTGGGGCAGTGGGCGCTGAGTGCGGCATGGAGGGAAGAGTCCTGAGTAGAAGTGGGGCGTCCCGGGGTGCAGGGGAGATGAAGGCGTCCCGGGAGGTGAGGCCCAGGGTGCAGTGGGAGGCCAAAGGAGGGATGGAGCTCGGGGGTCTGCGGGGGTGGGGGGGTGTTCCCAGAGCGACAGGACCCCGGGGACATTGGGGGATCCAGGCAGGGTGCAGGTCTAGGGGTCTCCGGAGGCCGACGAGGGGGCCCCGGGCTGGGTCCTCGTACCTCTCACGAGGGTCACGGGTCGGTCCACGAGGAGGTCGAAGACCTTCGTCAGGTAGACGACGGGGTTGGGTAGCCAAGTCTGCGACGACACAGCCGGGGTGCGAGTCGGGGGCTCGGGGTACACATCTTTGTCCCAGGTGTCAGGCATGGCGGTGGCAGGCGCGGACTCCGCTCCCGGACACGCCGCCCAGGCCTCTGGCTCGGTCCGGGTACCGCGGCCTAGGTCGCCCGCTACCGAGGACGTCGAGGGCGGCTGCGCCTGGGCGCTGGCGGTCACGAGGCACCATGGGACTTGTAGTTCTCCGCCTCCGCCCGGCGCGGGCGGGATCCGCCTCGCCGCAGGGCGCCCCCTTGTGGGGCCTCCGTTCTCTATCTGTGCCCAGCGCCTGCGCGGTGCTGGGGGCTGATCTGCGCGCCTGCGGGCAGCCGCGAACCAGACAGATGCTTGCTTACCGTGAAAGAAACAGAGAACAGGCAGTAGACATAAGGACTAGGAGGGAGACATTAGGTTCCCATGGCGCGCCAGGTATTGTGCTGAGTGCAGCAGCGACGAAGATAAACAGCCCGGCTCTGATGGAGAACAGAGGCCGTTAGAGCACCCACGACAAAGTGAACAAATATGGATTGCCTAGCCCTTACAGGCTTCTCTGGGCCCCCCTCTCTACCAGGGCTCCCATGGACTGGCTGTTGACAGTGAACTTGGGGGCCTGCCTGGGGCAGGGCAGGAGGCAGGGCTTGCCCTAAGCAGCTCATAGAGAGAAGGGACCCCTACTTCGGGCATAGAGCCCTCTGGCCGGCTTTGATGATTCCATCCTGGCCCTGGGCACTTGGGTGCTTCTAGGCAGCTCTGCTGAGCAGACCTCTGCTGAGCAGACCCCTGCTTGAGCCATCTGTAATTACACCGGGCATGGCCCCTGGCTGGTATCCAGGAGGACACTGGTCATATCCTGCCCTGAGGCTGAGGCCAGCGACATAGAGCCATCAACACTACAGACAAACAGGATCTAAAGTCACAGAAATATCAGATCTTCACATTATGAACTTATTTTTTTTTTTGAGACAGAGTCTCACTCTGTCCGCCAGGCTGGAGTGCAGTGGTACGATCTCTGCTCACTGCAACTTCTGCCTCCTGGGTTCAAGTGATTCTTCTGCCTCAACCTCCCAAGTAGCTGGGACTTAGAGGCGCCTACCACCACGCCTGGCTAATTTTTTTGTATTTTTAGTAGAGATAGGGTTTCACCATGTCGCTGGTCTCAAACTCCTGACCTCAGATGATCTGGCCGCCTCGGCCTCCCAAACTGCTGGGATTACAGGCGTGAGCCACCAGGCCCAGCCAAACTTGTGGAAAGAAATACAAACCATGAGACCTAAAGAATCTTGACATTTTAGTAGCCTACAATCTTAGTATCTATTGGTGTAAGCCCCACAGATCTTAGAGACATCATAGGCCTGAAAATCTCTAGAATTCCACTGCTACAGAACTTTACAACCATAGAATCTTTGAATTGAAAGCGACTTCAAGGGGTACAATGGCTCACACCTGTAATCCCAGGACTCTGGGAGGCCAAGGCAGGTGGGTGGCTTAAGCTCAAGACTTGGAGACCAGCCTGGGCAACATAGTGAGACCCTGTTTCTACAAACAATATAAAAATTAGTGGTGCATGGTGGTAAGTGCACGTGATCCCAGCTACTTGAGAGGCTGAGGCAGGAAGTTTGCTTGAGCCAGGAGGTTGAGGCTACAGTGAGTGCTATGACTGCACCACTACATTTCAACATGGGCAACAGAGAGAAATTCTGTCTCAAAAAAAAAAAAAGAAAGAAAGAAAAAAAAAAAAAAAGATATTTCAACTTCCTTTTCATTCAAAACTAAAGTTCAAAATTTAAATTTGGTCAGATGCTGTGGCTTATGCCTGTAATCTCAGCACTTTGGGAGGCTGAGGCAGGAAAATCACTTGAGGCCAGGAGTTTCAGACCAGCCAAGACAACATAGTGAGACGCCCACCTCTACAACACAATACATTTAAAAATTAGGTCCTGCTGTGGCGCGTGCCTGTAATCCCAGCTACTCAGGAGGCTGAGGCAGGAGAATTGCCTGAACCCAGGAGGAGGAGGTTGTGGTGAGCCGAGATCGAACCATTGCACTCCAGCCTGGGTAACAAAAGCGAAACTCCGTCTCAAAAAAAGAAAAAAAATTAGGTCCCGCACTTAAGCCCAGAAGGTTGAGGCTGCAGTGAGCTATGATCACATCACTGTGCTTCAGCCTGAGCAATGGAATGAGACCTTGTCTCTTAAAAATAAATAAGGCTGGGCTCGGTGGCTTACTCCTGTAATACCCTGTAATCTTTGGGAAGGCAAGGTGGGCAGATCATGAGGTCAGAAGTTTGAGACCAGCCTGACCAACATGGTGAAAACCTGTCTCTATTAAAAATACAAAATTAGCCAGGCATGGTGGCATGTGCCTGTAATCTCAGCTATTCAGAAGGCTGAGGCAGGAGAATCACTAGAACCTGGGAGGTAGAGGTTGCAGTGAGCTGAGATCTGGCCACTGCACTCCAGCCTGGGCAACAGGACTAGACTTCGTCTCAAAAAATAAAATAAAAATAAATAAATAAGTAAATCCATAAAAGTATCTCAGTGCTTATGGATGATGGGAATCAGATCTTTATCTTTTTTTTTCTTTTTTGAGATGGAGTCTCACTCTATTGCTCAGGCTAGAGTGCAATGCTGCGATCTTGGCTCATTGCAACCTCTGCCTCCCAAGTTCAAGTGATTCTCCTGCCTCAGTCTCCCGAGTAGCTGGGATTACAGGCGTGAACCACCACACCCGGCTAATTATTGTATTTTTAGTTGAGACAGGGTTTCACCATGTTGACCAGGCTAGATTTTTTTTTTTTTTAAAGACGGGGCCGGCTGGGCATGGTGGTTCACACCTGTAATCCAAGCACTTTGGAGGCCAAGGCGGGCGGATCACCTGAGGTCAGGAGTTCAAGACCAGCCTGACCAACATGGTGAAACCCCGTCTTCAAAAGAAGAAGAAAAAAAAAAGGAAGACAGGGCCTCATTCAGTCACCCAGGCTGCAGTGCAATGCTATAATCACAGGTCACTGCAGCCTTGACCTCCTGGTTTCAGGTGATCCTCCTGCTTCACCCTCCCAAAGTGCTGGGATTAGAGGTGTGAGCCACTTCTCCCAGCCAGGGATCTCAGTCTTGAAGTGCAGTGCTGGTGATCCTCAAGGTGCAGCCGGCCCTCTCCCTATTCTCTCCCATCATTAGCCCTGCTCCCCGCTGTTTACCCAGCTGTCTCTCAGCCCTCAGGATGGGAATCCCCTCCGCCTCCATGTCAGCAAACTGCCCCGGGCCCCTCCTCTTGGCTGCTGCCCGGGAGAAGGTCCCCACCAGGCTACTGTGGCCTCCACCTTGCCCAGCCAGTCCCTTCCTGGGAGGGTCATGACCCAGTCCCAGGGCCACTGAGGAAAGGAGTGTCAGCCCTGACTCGGTGACCCCCCCAGGCTGCCCATCTGATACCCCCAACACTGCCCCGCCCTAGCCTCCTCCTGGCACCAGAGACCCTGCTGACTGTGCCAGGGGCTAATCTGGGAGCTGGCAGCTGTGAGTCCTGGCTCTGCCACTCGACCTCTGGCGGCGAGAGGGGAGGCCCCTTCCTGACCTTCAGGGATCTGCCATCATGGTTGGTGGGACCAGGGTGACATGGCGGGTGGGCTGGGGTTGGAGCTGGAACTCCAGGGGGAGGGGACAGCTGGGCTTCTAGACGCTCCCTCAGAGGGACGGCCTTCCGGCTTGTGAGGGGATGGGAGGCTGGAGGGGGCAGCACGGGGGCGAGGGCTGGGCTGCTGGCCCTGGAAATGAACAGATAGCAGCGGCCACCTGCCCCAGGAGCTCTTGGCTGCAATGTGGGCACGACCCTCCTGGACCCCAGGCTGAGCCTATAGAGGCAGGAAGCCTGTGACTATGGAGGCCCCGTCCATAAGACGCTGCCCCTTGGCAAGCCTTCCTCTTTCCTCCTGTAGACAAACGGGGGAGGCACTGAGCACGGCCTTACTCTGGGGCCTCTAGTCCATTTTCCCAGGTATGGGTTCTGGGATCACCCAGCTCCACCTCCAGGGACACCCCGGCTCTGACCTCCTTTCTGCCCCCTAGTCCCACCGGAAGTTTTCTGCCCCTCGGCACGGACACCTGGGCTTCCTGCCTCACAAGAGGAGCTGCCGGCACCGGGGCAAGGTGAAGACGTGGCCGCGGGATGACCCCAGCCAGCCCGTGCACCTCACGGCCTTCCTGGGCTACAAGGCGGGCATGACCCACACCCTGCGTGAGGTGCACCGGCCGGGGCTCAGTGAGTCACCGTTGGGCCCCTCGCGGGACGGGGAGGGCTGAAGCTTCCAGATGCTCGGAACCAGAACTCATGCTCTTGGGAACCAGAACTCATGCTCTTGATCTGGGCAGGGCCACAGTCCCATCACGAGGCCCTGCCCCCGGGAACCGTGGTGAACGCTGAGCACAGGCAGGGCTTCCGGCGGGTTCTGTCATGGCCCCAGCCCACATATGCGGACATCAAGGCACAAAGCAGTGAGGAAACTGGCCAGGCACACAGGCAGTAAGGGCAGGTGCTAGATTCAAATGCCAGCTCGGTGTCCCAAGCCCTCAGTTCAAACCACCTGCCAGGACGGCTGCGTTTTTTGGCCATTGTTGGTCTATTTCATGTACCATTATTTCAGATGTACACCTATGCATATAGTTCAGTTTTTGTTTTATTATTTATTTTTGAGACAGAGTTTCACTCATGTTGCCCAGGCTGGAGTGCAGTGGTGCAATCTTGGCTCACCGCAACCTCCGCCTCCTGGGTTCAAGCAATTCTCCTGCCTCAGCTTCCCGAGTAGCTGGAATTACATGCATGTGCCACCATGCCTGGCTGATTTTGTATTTTTAGCAGAGATGGGGTTTCTCCATGTTGGTCAGGCTGGTCTCGAACTCCCGACCTCAGGTGATCCACCCGCCTTGGCCTTCCAAAGTGCTGGGATTACAGACATGAGCCACCGCGCCTAGCTGGTTTTGGTTGTTTTAATTATAGATTTACAAGTACTTGTAAGAAATAATGCAAGCTGGGCATGGTGGCTCACGCCTGTAATCCCAGCACTTTGGAAGGCCAAGGTGGGTGGATCACTTGAGGCCAGGAGTTCCAGACCAACCTGAGCAGCATGGTGAAACCCTGTCTCTACAAAACATACAAAAATTAGCTGGGCGTGGTGGTGAGTGCCTGTAGTCCTAGCTACTTGGGAGGCTGAGGGGTGGGAGGATGGCTTGAGCTTGGGAAGTCGAGGCTGCAGTGGGCTATGATTGCACCCAGTGCACTCCAGCCTGGCTGACAGAGTGAGACCCTGTCAAAAAAAAAGAAAAAAAAAAATCCATTGTAATTATTAAACTAATAAATGCTCATTTGGGCTCAGCCCTACCCTCTGGGGGAGTGCTGCCCAGGCTGGCCCCATGCTCTCCTGGCCTGCCCCTGTAAGCCCAGCTTTTCACTCCCTCCCCCATGGGCTTCAGGAGCTCCCCTTTCATGCCCCATACCTGCATCTCATCCAGAAATTTCCAAACGGGAGGAGGTGGAGGCAGTGACAATTGTGGAGACGCCACCCCTCGTGGTGGTGGGCGTGGTGGGCTACGTGGCCACCCCTCGAGGTCTCCGAAGCTTCAAGACCATCTTTGCAGAACACCTTAGTGATGAGTGCCGGCGCCGATTCTACAAGGACTGGTGAGCACCGCCTTGGGTGGGCCGCCCAAGGGCTGCTGGGACCACAGAGGTTGGTGCCTGAGGCTCTAGCTCTTGCTGGAATGATAGGTGTGGAAGACCAGGAAGAGAAGACTCAAAGTGTGCGCCTGTAATCCCAGCACTTTGGGAAGCCAAGGCAGGAGGGTCATTTGGGGTCAGGAGTTCGAAACCAGCCTGGCCCACAATGTGAAAGCTCATCTCTGCTAAAAAATAAAAAATAAAAAATTAGCCGGGTGGTAGCGGTACGCACCTGTAATCCCAGCACTTTGGGAGGCCGAGGCAGGCAGACCTCACCTTAGGGCTTCAAGACCAGCCTGGGCAACATGACAAAACGCATCTGTACCAAAAAATACAAAACATGAGTTGAGCACGGTGGCACACACCAGTGGTCCCAGCTAAACGGAGGGCTGAGGTGGGCAGATTGCTTGAGCCTGGGAGGTCCACGCTGCAATGGGCCGTGTTTGTGCCACTGCACTGCAGCCTGGGAGACAAAGTGAGACCCTGGCTCCAAAAACAAAAATGAAAGGATGGCTTCCAAGCCCGAGGCATGGTGCCTAGCTACAGCACCCAGCATACCCTTGAGAAGTGGGACCAGCCGTCCCAGCCATGTGGCAGGTGGGGTGGCCTCTAGGTGCCTGGACTGCAGGGCTGGCCGGCCCCTTCTCTGAGTTTTTGCACCTCTGCCACTTGCTCTCGGGCCCCAGGAGACAGTGAGAGTGCCCACATTACAGAGGAGGAAACCGGGTCCCAGACAGGGAGGGACGGTCTATGTTCAAAGATGGTGGCTGGAACCAGCTCCGAGGCCTCCGGGGTGGGGGCAGACCCAGCGGTAGGACCCCTGCTTGGTGGGCTGGGGATGGGAATGGGATGGGGACAGTATGGGCCTGGGGAGCTGCCCCGGTTAGGGGGCCTCTGAGCACCCTCCTGTGTGTGGCTCAGGCACAAGAGCAAGAAGAAAGCCTTCACCAAGGCCTGCAAGAGGTGGCGGGACACAGACGGCAAGAAGCAGCTGCAGAAAGACTTCACCGCCATGAAGAAGTACTGCAAGGTCATTCGGGTCATCGTCCACACGCAGGTCAGCCCCCAGGCCTCTGCCACTGGCCAGTCCCTAGGCCCGCGCCCCTCACCTCAGCTTCCACAGCTCTGGCAAATGTCAGCCTAAAAATATTGGAGCTCTGGCACAGGCCCAGAGGAGTGGCTGACTGGCCTTGCTGGCCGCACGCGACCCCAGGGATGGATGCTGAAAGGCATCAGTGCCTTCTGGGGTACCAGGGGTGTCACCCACACCAGCTAGTTGTCTAAGGCCCTGGCATGTGCTGAAGGGCTGGGTCCTCAGCCAAGTGTGGAGGGCTGGTCACCTCTCTTCGGGCTCTGGCATAAATGTGCATGGGAATCGGGGTTTGTACCTGGGTCTGGCTTACTGTAGGCTGACAGGCAGGCGGAATCCTCCGGCTTATTCTGGAATACTCTTTTTTTTTTTTTTTTTTTTTTGAGACGGAGTTTTGCTCTTGTTACCCAGGCTGGAGTGCAATGGCGCGATCCCGGCTCACCGCAACCTCCGCCTCCTGGGTTCAGGCAATTCTCCTGCCTCAGCCTCCTGAGTAGCTGGGACTACAGGCACGCGCCACCATGCCCAGCTAATGTTTTGTATTTTTAGTAGAGACGGGGTTTCACCATGTTGACCAGGATAGTCTCGATCTCTTGACCTCGTGATCCACCCGCCTCGGCCTCCCAAAGTGCTGGGATTACAGGCTTGAGCCACCGCGCCCGGCCTTCTGGAATACTCTTTAGCGTCCTTGTCCTCAGGAAAAGCTTCCCCAGGGCCTAAAACAGTGCCCCCAACCTGAGCCTCCCACAGCCCCCTGAACCCACACTCCCCCTAGCAATTCACACTTTCACAGGCCATGCCTGCCAGTCACCGCGACATGTTCATCTCCCTGGACAGACTCCAGAGGGACAGAGGCCCTAGGTGGGGCCACAGCTGCCACCAAGAGCCTGGTATGCAGGAGGTGCTCTATATAAACACCGGCTCCATACATATGCTCCATACACACCAGCCCCATATACACCTGCCTGTACACCCCTGCCCCGTACACACCAGCCCCATACACACCTGCCCCATATACACCTGCCCCATACACCCCTGCCCCGTACACACCAGCCCCATACACACCTGCCCCGTACACACCTGCCCCGTACACACCTGCCCCGTACACACCTGCCCCATACACACCTGCCCCGTACACCCCTGCCCCGTACACACCAGCCCCGTACACACCTGCCCCGTACAC